AGTTTGTAAATGTAAATAATAAATCTTCATACACCAAAGTTAGTCTAGACTTCTTAACAAACAGACCACAGTTAGTGAGGATCCACAACTTCTCCTCCTCCACCATAACCCTCAGCACTGGCTCTCCTCAGGGATGTGTGTTGAGCCCCCTCCTGTTTACTCTGCTCACGTATGATTGTGCAGCTACCTATCCAGGCTGTCACATTGTAAAGTTTGCAGATGATACAGCGGTGGTGGGATGCATCACAAACAATGATGAGTCCAGCTACAGGCAAGAGGTGGAACACCTGGAGAGCTGGTGCAAGGAGAATAACCTTCACATCAATGTGAAGAAGACAAAGGAGATGATTGTGGACTTCAAAAGGAACAAACACACCTACCCGCCCCTGAATATAAGAAGGTCTGCGGTGGAAGTGGTCTCCAGCTACAAGTACTTGGGTGTACACATGAATGAAAACCTTAGCTGGAGCAACAACACCACCAGCCTGATCAAGAAAGCTCATCAGAGACTCTACTTCCTCAGACGGCTGAGACGAGCTGGTCTGGAAGCTCAGTCCTCACCTCCTTCTACAGGTGTGCAGTGGAGAGCATCCTGTGCTCCAGCATCAATGTGTGGCATGGAGGCTGCACAGCTGCAGAAAGAAAAGCTTTGCAGAGAGTGGTGAAGGCTGCACAGAAATCTGTTGGAATCAGTCTCCCCACCTTCACAGACATCTACACATCCAGATGCAGGAAGAGGGCCACCTGCATCATGAAGGACCACACTCACCCAGCACACACACTTTTTGCCCCACTCCCCTCAGTAAGGAGGTTGAGGAGCATTAAGTCTAGAACCACTAGACTGAGGAACATCTTCTACCCTGAGGCTGTTAGACTCAGGAATCTCTAACCAGAATAATCACTGTGAAAAACCATATCATGTTGCTGCTGATCTGTTTCATGTTGCTGCTGATCTGTTTCAATGTTGATGTGTTCATGAGTGCACATCCTCTCACACAGACTCATGTTCATGTTTGTGCTGATGTTCGACGTAATGCTTTATGTTATGAGTGCTTAGTGTATATTTAGTCAATGTTTTTATTAGTTCATATCTTAGATGTTATTACTGTTTTTCTTATACATTTCATTGTTGGATGTAACTGGGACCCTGTGTACATAATTTCGCTCCACCACATGTACCACATGATGTGTGAATGACAATAAAGAATCTCTGACTTATATATGCTTCCATTAGGTAAAGTTATTAAACAGCATGGGATACATTTTCATTGTTATGCTGATGATACACAATTATATTTGTCCATTAAATCCAATAAATCCAATCAGCTACTTAGACTACAAGCATGTCTTAAAGACATAAAAACCTGGATGACCCCTAATTTTCTCCTGTTGAACAGACAAGACTGAGGTTTTGGTTTTAGGACCTGAGCACCTTAGGAATGAATGTTTCAGTCTTTCTCCCTCCTTAGATGGCATTAATCTGTCCTCCAGCTCTAATGTTAAAAATCTTGGTGTTATTTTTGATTAGGACATGTCTTTTATCCCCCATATTAAAAACGTTACTAGAACCACCTTCTTCTTCTTCCACCTGCGTAATATCACTAACATTAGAAACATCGTATTTAAGATTGATGCAGAAAAACTGGTCCATGCATTTGTCACGTCTGGACTGGACTATTGCAATGGTTTATTATCTGGGTGTCCAAATACTTCTTTAAAACGTCTTCAGTTGATTCAAAATGCTGCTGCCAGAGTCTTAACTGGAGTTACTGGGAGATATCATATTTCTCCAGTTTTAGCTTCTCTCCATTGGCTCCCTGTCAAATCCAGAATAGAATTCAAAATCTTACTTCTAACCTACAAAGCCCTCAACAACCTAGCTCCATCTTATATTACAGATCTTATTGTTCCATATTTTCCTAACAGAGCACTTCGCTCTCAGACTGCAGGTTTACTTGTGGTTCCTAGAGTTTCCAAAACCAGAATGGGAGGCAGATCTTTCAGTTATTGTGCCGCTCAAGGTGGCTGCATGTTGGAGCAGCTCTGTTACTTTCATTCTGAGATTTTGCTTTTGGAAACTTTAATTCCTCTTTTTCTGGATGTAAATCACATTTTTTGGATGATTGTTTCATCTGGTATCAGATGCTGTGCAGCCGGAAGGATTTTTACTGAAACCTTTTTGGTTTTGGACATTTGTTATGATGCGTAACTATGGCAACAAGACAGTTTTCTACAACAGCAGCTGAATAACATCTCAAAAGCTCAAATAATATCTCAACTATGGCCCCAACTCTCAAATGAGTTGAAAAGGATGTTCTGTGGACGCATTCTCATCTACCTGCCAGCTGTGCTCGAGTGCCTGATCACTGAGATCCTGGAACTAGCAGGAAACACGGCTCACGACAGCGCATAGACAGGATCGTCCCTCAGCACCTACAGTTGGCTGTCCACAGCTATGAGGAGCTCAGCAGACTGCTGGGAGGAGTGGCCATCGCTCTGGGGGGAGTTCTGCCCAGCATTCCGGCGGTCCTACAGTCCAGGGGAACCGAGAGGCCAGCCGAGTCTGGGTGGACGGATTGGACGGCATCTGTAGCCAGTTTCTTAGGATCCACTGTGGGATGGACCTTTACAAGAGATCCTTCCTGTCTGCAGCCATCAGTATCTATAAAATCTCTTAATGAAATGAGGATAACGAGTTACAACAACAAAATAATTCCTCTTTGGGATTAATAAAGTATTGTTGAATTGAATTGAATTGAATTATGAAGCTCCTCTCTTGTGGAATCAACTTCCAATCTCTGTCCGTGAGGCTGACACATTATCCAGTTTTAAAACTAGACTTAAGACTTTCCTTTTTGCTAAATCCTATAGTTAGGGTCGGCTTGGGTTTCCTGAGCTGTCCCTTAGTTATGCTGCTATAGACTTAGACTGCTGGAGGACAAACTGACCACACTTTTCACTCTGCTACTGTCTCCACTTACTCTGCTCAACCTGTTTTGTATTTGTAATTATTTTTTCTATCCTTAACATGTGTTTTTTTGTCTTTCAGATACATCTGGACCTACCATTCTGTGTTTGTCTGTCTCTCCTTCCTCTCCTTTCAAACCAGCCGGTCAAAGCAGATGGCCGCTTGTCCTGAGCCTGGTTCTGCTGGAGGTTTCTTCCTTTTAAAAGGGAGTTTTTTCTTTCCACTGTCTCCACTGTGCTTGCTCAGGATGGGAGACTGCAACGAAGCCAAGATTCAACTTGTCTGCTGGATTCCTTAGATAGAGAACTTTACTAATTGGCTTTTATGTGAATGTTCCTGTAAAGTGCCCTGAGACAACTTTGTTGTGATTTGGCGCTATATAAATAAACTGAAATTAATTGAATTGAATTAAAGACAAATTAAGTAGATCCAAAATTTCAGATTAATTAGGGGAAATTCCTCTTTAAACAGTCTGGTTGGGATGGGATCTAGCATAAAAACCGGATTCCAAAAAAGTTGGGACCCTAAACAAATTGTGAATAAAAACTGAATGCAATGATGTGGAGGTGCC